TGAAGGAATTGGCAAAGAACAAGGCAACAAGAATTGGTGGAATAAAAATTGAAATCTTTCAAGAAAGTGAGGAAGCACAAGAAGCACTCACTCATCTCTGCCAAGAAATTTGGAAGACAACTATCTGGCTGACTAATTGGAAGAGATCCATATCTGTGCCCCTTCCAAAGAGGTGACCCAACAGAATGTGGAAATCATCAGACAATCTCTTTGATATCCCACACGAGTAAAGTTTTGCTAAAGGTCATACAGAAACGGCTGCAATCATACATTGACAGAGAACTTCTAGACATTCAAGCCAGATTCAGAAGAGGACTTGTAATGAGGGATATCATTGCTGATGTCTGATGGATCTTGGCTGAAAGCAGAGATTATCAGAAAGATGTTTACCTGTGCTTTACTGACTACGCAAAGGCTTTCGATTGTGTGGATCATGACAAGCTATGGACAACATTGTGAAGTATGACTATTCCAGAACACTTAATTGTGCTCATGAGGAATCTTCACCTGGACCAAGAAGTAGTGGTTCAAACAGAACATGGGAACAATGAATGGTTTAAAATTAAAAAAGGTGTGCAACAAGGTTGTATTCTTTCACCATACTTATTCAACCCATATGCTGAGCAAACAATCCAAGAAACTGATTATATGAAAAAAATGTGGCATCAGGATTGGAGGAACACTCACTAACAACCTGCGATATGCAGATGATCCAACCTTGCTTGCTGAAAGTGAAGAGGACTTAAAACATTTGCTGATGAAGATCAAAGAACACAGCCTTCAGTATGGATTATATCTCAATGTCAAGAAAACAAAAATCCTCACCACTAGACCAATAAACAACATTCTTATCAATGGAGAAAAGATGGAAGTTGTCAAGGACTTCATTCTTCTTGGATCAACTATCAACGCTCACGAAAGCAAGAGTCAAGAAGTCAAATGACATCTTGCATTAGGCAAATCTGCTTCACAAGACCTTTTCAAAGTGTTGAAGAGCAAATATGTCAGCCTGAGGACTAAGGTGTGCCTGACCCTAGCCATGGTATTTTCAATAACCTCATATGCATGCGAAAGCTGGACAATGAATAAGGAAGACCGTAGAAGAATTGATGCTTTTGAGTTATGGTATTGGAGGAGAATATTGAAAGTGCCATGGGCTGCCAAAAGAACCAATAGATCCGTTTTGGAAGAAGGGCAGCCA